TTTCAAAACTGTTACACAGATTTAATGCAATTCCAACCAAAAGTCCAACTTTTGGTTTATTTCATAGGATTATACAAAGCAATCCTTAAAGTCATTTGGAATCAGAGCTCATTCTATTCTACAAGTGCACAGGCACTTCTGCATAACAAAGGCAAGACAGGGGCATCATATCATAGTTTCTGATTTGAAATTATACTATAATGCTACTGTGCTAAAAACAGCATGGTGCTGGCAAACAAACAAAAAACCAAAATAAAAAATAAAAATTACAACAACAACAAAACCCCTCAAGGATCAATGGAACAGATTAGAAGACGCAAAAACAATTCCAGACATACTCAGACATCTTATCTTGGACAAAGTATCAAATGTATTAGGATAGTCTTTTTAACAAATGGCATGTCTAAGGGGCAGCCACATTCATGGTGGCCACAAATGACAAGAGCAAAAGGGTAAAGAGGGAAAAGCACACCTCCTTCCTTCCATTGTACTGGTATGCCAGCTATCCATCCTGGACGGGTGTAGCACTCACACTGCCAATCCCAGCACTAGACAATGAACCAATCACAAATGCTATATTCTGCTGCCTCCATGACTGTATGAGGTTTTGGGGGGACACCTAGACACAAACCATAACACACCATGCACTAAACTAAGTTTGAAACGGATTAAAGATAAAAATATTAAAACAGAAGCATTAAATCTGTTGGAATGTAGAAGGGATAAAACTCTTGAAGACATTGGTGTGGGCAAAGACTTTATGAATAAAATCTTGATGGCACAGGAACTACCACAAAGAATCAACAACTGAGATTTCATCTTATTAAAAAGCTTTTGTGCAACAAAAAAAGCATTAACAGAGTTAAGAGACAACATAAAATTTGGGAAAAATTTTTTTGCATGCTGTTCCTCAGACATAAGATTACTACTAAGAACATATAAAGAACAACAACAACAACAAAAATCAGACTTCTCAAATTTGGAGATCCAATCCAAAAATGAGCATCTGAGATAAGTACATACTTCTCAGATGAAGAAATACAAACAGCAAACAAATACACAAAGCAAAGAGATGCAAATTAAAACAAGATGAGATTCCATTTCATCCTGGAAAGAATGTTTACTATGAAGAAATCAACTAACAACAAATGTGCAAGGGGGTATAGGAAAAAAGGAACCCTTCTCCACTCTTGGTAGAAGTACAGACTGGTGTAACCACTGTGCAAATCAGTGTGGAGACTTCTCAAAAACTAGGAATTTGACCCAGCTATTTCTCTTTTAGGCATTTTCCCAGAAAGATTGAAAAGATCACACCACGAGGTCATGTGTGCACCTATGTTTACAGCAGCACAATTTCTAATAGCAAAATCTTGGAAACAATCTGAATGCTCATCAACCAAGGAATGGTTAAAAAAGGTGTTTTTTGTATACAGTGCAGTATTATTCAGCCATTAAAAAGGATAAACTGGACACTTTTATAGGGAAATAGATGCAACTCAAGTCCAGACTTCTATATCCAAGCATTGTATGGTCTCCCTAGTATGAGAAGCTTAAAGAGTAAATTACATATTATAAAAGTATATTAATTCCGGAAATAGTGTCATGTTAGCTTTCTAAAGCTTTTTCTTCCTTTTCAAAATTGTTTCAATAATTTCAAATCTTTTGGATTTTCAGAGAAAATTGTTATCTTCCAGTGTTCCACCTTAAAAATGCTTCTTGAAAATTATAATTTGTCTTTAATGTTTTCTAGTTTTCTGTAAACAGGTCTTATAAATTTCATGATGAGATTTATCACTATTTTATATTTTCATACTGTTGTAAAGCTGTCTTGTTTTCATTTCTTACTGTGAAGTGGAAGTATAGTTGCTTTCTCATAAACATTTGATTTGTAAAAAATACCTAATTAGAAAAAGAGCTAAATTTCACATTAAAATTATAAACCTATAGCTTTACAACTCTCACATGGAAATTATTTTTGAGATTTGCGATATTTTAGATAATATACTGACATAAATAATACATTGTCTTCCAGGCTTATTTGAAAATTGACTCTATTTGTCCTCAACCCTCAGCACAAAAGATATATATTGAACGTGAAAAAACAAGGCAACAAAATGGCCCAAAGATTTCCAACTGTCCCAAAGCACTTCCCAGGGATACCAATAGAGAGGAGAGTAAATGCCAGACAGCTGCCAGACAGCTAAGCCTGCAAAATGATTAAAGGGAACTAAAGAAACATAGTGAGTTAAAAGAGGACATAATCCAAAAGTGAGTGGAACTAACAAAGAAGTTCAGTACTGTGTATATGAAAGAAATAAAAAATTGGAATAGCCGACCATTCTGTTCAAAATATAAATGATAAATTTACCAGCGATACAGATTCCACAAAAGTGTCAAATTCTATAGAATTCAAAATAGCAGAGACAATAATATAAAGATAGCATTTCAGAAATTGAGGCTAAAATGGAAATTCATGATAAATGATTTAGAGGACTTTTTAAAAAAAAAGGGGACAAAAAAAGATACCCAACAGCTAGTAGTGATAAGAATCTTAACTAAGGCTAACTGGAATTAGAAAGAAATCATAAAATAGCATACATTAAATTAGAAATAAGTCTTTACAGAAATCATACAGAAAACTTTTTTTTTTTTTGAGGAAAACTTTCTAAGTATGAGAAAAGAACTCAACATACTGGTAAGTGAACTTCACGAAACACCAAATAACTACCATGAAAAAGAAATTCCCCATGACATATCAGTCAAAATCCCTAATATCCATCCAAAGAAGAGGCAATGTTAAAGCTGTCAGACACAAAGGAAAAAGGATGCAATGACAGGAACAAGTCAATACTTTTCAGTAATAACTCTCAATGTAAATAGCCTTAATCTCTAATTATAAGACACGGGTTGACAAGACCAGATTAAAAAAAAAAAAAAAAAAGAATTCAACAGTATGTTGCTTTTAAGAAACTTATGTAATTCAAAAAAATTATAGAAATAAAGCAAAGAATGGAAAACAATATTCTATGTATCATGATCCTCAAAACAAGCAGGAGTAAAAATTTTATTTTCAAACAAAGTAAATTTCAAGCTAAAATTGATCAAAACAGGCAAAGGTCACTACATTTTAGCTCACCAAATAATTTAACAGGAAGAAATGACACCTGTAAATGTGTATGCCCTGAAGACTGGGGCACCTAATTTCACAGAACAAATCCTGTTGGAGAGAAGAGGTCAAATCAACATCAGCACGATCACAGTGGGTGGCCACAGTCTCCCATTTTCACAAAGAAATCAACTAAAGAAACATTCAATTTAGGCCCATCTTTCTCCCCACAGACTAAAGTAAAAGCATAGTGGATCAAAGATCTAAATATTAAAACAGAAACAACTGGCTGGAAAATGAAATAGATCGTTAAAGGCAGCGACTTTCTGAACAGAAAGATCATACAAGAAGTAGCATCAAGTATCAGTACATGGATTATCTCAAGCCAAAATGTTTATGCACAGTAAAGAAACAAGCAAGAGAATGAAAAAGACCATCTACAGATAGGGAAAAAATTTTGCCAGCTACACACTGGATGGAGGATTACTATCTAGAATATAAAAAGAAATAAAATAAGTAAACCCTCCAAAATAAAAGATACCTCCTCCCCGCAAAAATGGAAGTGAAATGAATGGGCACTTCTAAGGAGAAGTACAAGTGGGCAATAAGCAAGGCAAAACACCGAGATTACAGCTACTCCAAAAAGAACAGCTATCAAGAAATTAAACAGCAACAAACCCTGCAGGTCACAGGGAAAAGATGTTCTTCTGTGTTGTTGGTAGGAATGCCAACTAGTAAAACCACTGTGGAAATCAGTATGGAGAGTTTTCAAAAAAACTAAAACTAGAAATTCTACTCAATCTATATATTCCCTTTCTAAGTATCCTCCTGAGAAATGTTAAAAACATGATAACTACATTGATACATGCTTACCTATGTTTACAGCATAACTTGGAATACCTAAATCTTTGAAGTCCCTCAACAGATAAATAAATAAAGAAAATGTGGTATTTATACAATGGGAGTACTACTCTGCTACAAAGAAAGATAATCTTGAATCATCTGTAGGAAAGTGGATGCACCTCAAGACCATCTCAAAAACACAACACTAAGTGAAATAAATCAGACAACACTAGCTTAACTGGCAATATAAAAAACATCAAAGAGAAAAATAAAAAATATAAAATAAGACACAGGAAGATAGCTCTTTTGAAACTGGGAAGGAGACTAAAATACTAGGGGAAGGAGTGGGGAATTCAAAAGAATTTGTACGTGTCATCATGTACAAGTATCAACTACCTACATAATGAGTATGTTCAGTATGTACCACAAAAATATGTGAATAAAAAATACTCAGTTTGAAAATCTGTTATGTTCAACAATAGCTGAATTATATTCTTCAAGAAATATTTTGAGAATTATGTAATTAAAAGTGCTAAAACAAGGTCTAAAAGGATCAGGATCAGCAAATATTTTCATGTACAAAATTAATCAAATGATCAATGAGCTACCCTAAATCCAAATCCAAAAACAAGCCAGGAACTGAAGATACAAAGATTAAAAGACACACATCATTCTCTCTGACCACCAAAAAATTCTGCACGTGACTGTAAAACCTTGCTAGTCAAGTTTTATGTTCCTCAATGAAGTTTAGAAACAAGTAAAAAGATTATCTTGAAAACTCTTCTGTTAGTTTCCTACAAAAGCAGTAAAATAATTCACTTATAAAATATGTAGAATTTCAGAGATACAGATTCTTTTTGAAAAGGTCACACACCAAATTAAAATACATGTAAGGACTAAATGGAGAAATACAGTAGAATGAAATTTTAAAATTAAAAAGGATAGAAGGACTGAACATATTAAAATTTATAGAACTATTCTGATATTAGCTTACTAGTCTTACAAAACAATAAATACTTCATTGCTTTTCTCATTGCTTAGGAATTCATACCTCTCAGAAGCTGTTCTTGTTTTACCACAAGCCCTTGGTACTTTTTAAAGGTTTTCTCATATTCCTTTTTCAAAGTTTGGTTTTCAAGGTCTTCATCAAGTAAAAACTTCAGTTAAGGACCATACATTCTAACTGAAACAAAAAGAACCCTACTGAAAACATTATGAAGAATAGTACTACTAAATGTCAAAAGCAATTTTATCTAGCTTCTTTCTCTAACAAGAGGTCAATAAAATGTTCTGCTCTGAAGGACATGTTAAACTTAAGATTCAACAATTTCCTTGGATTCTTAATCCTTGGGTAAGGAAATATTTGAACTTCATCAAATACTTGAATTTCTAATATCCAAGAAACTGCATGCAAACATTTCATTTAAACTTTGGATTATCAAGTGGGTCCATGCAAAAAGTATTGCCTTATAGGGAGTGATGTAGCTACTGAAGACACTAGGTTCCACTTTAGAGATGCCAAGAATATTTAAAGGACGGAGATTAAATCTAAAGCTTTTTATCACCCTCTTCAGATAAGGGATGCCAAGAGAAAAATATTCCAAAGAATAACGCCCACTTTTTTTTAAAAAACAAAGCAGTGTTTAGAAATGTATGATACTGTGCCCAACAGGAATAATGTTTTCATTTTTCAAAAGACATCAGTAAGCACTGAGTTCAAAGAAATTTTATTATCATGGCTTGTTGACCTGTAAAATATGTCATATTAGGACAGACAGGAATAAACTGACTTAAAAATTGCCAATTACAATAGGCAATATGATAAATATCTTCAAAATTCTAGGAAAATTGTAATGTTTGAAAGAATATCTCTGTTCTATATTCTGTATGTAAGACTACAACAAGGAATAAAAGTTACTGGTTGACTAAGCAAAGGAATATTATAATAAACAGCCTGATAAAGAACAGATTATGTAACTCTGTCAGACAAAATATGAAGATTTATACTGAAGGATAGCTTAAACTTTATTTCTAATGTTCCTTTCACAGATTTCATTATTATATAAGCCTCTCAAAAATAATATAGTGGTACCGCAATTCACAAACTTAATTTTCTCCATGGTTCTGGTTGCAAACTGAACTGGATGAAAAGCAAAAAAAATTTCCCTATAAATTTCATTTGAATTTTAACCACTGAAACTAGGTTAGTCCTCATCCAATTGCGGTGACGACCAGAAATCATGGAAAGACTTCAGTTTGTGAACTGAGGTAAAATTGCATTTACTAAGAAGAGTATTTTTATACTTAACTAAATAAATAATAAAAAATAGAACCTTAAACTAGCTTCCCACAAAGTTACCATAACCTGAGAAATAGGGCATAAACATGGTGAGCCATAATTCCACTAACCAACAGATCTTCCTTCAACTTCACTGAGTAATCAAAGTTGAGGGAGAGATAAAAGTTACCGTTAAACTCTATTCTCATACTGTCAATGATCGTCTTAACCTTCAATATAATCTTGTATGGTTTCCAATATAATCTTGCATGGTAGTACACTTAGTAATATTTAAACAAATCCTATCCATCCAAAACTTATAATAAGAGGCAAGATCAGGTCAAAATGGTACTGTAAAAGGATATCAGCCTTCTTCTTCTTAGAAAGTTCTTCTTGCCAAAGCTCATGTCTTTTTAACTCGTGATCAATGATATTCATACACAGAGCTCCAATTTTATAGTGGGTGATTACTCCATGAAACTGAGAAAAGCTTAAAAGAAGAAGTTTTAATAACTAAAGGAATATATTTTTTTGGTAGGGGAAATTGATTTTGGCAAATACTGGTACGAACAACATAGGAAATAAATTTGGCATACCCATTCCAATAAGTGCATATATCTACATTATACTCAGAAAATTTGAAATCTTAAGATTACTTTAAATATATTTTTGAGACAGATCTTATTATGTACCCTAGGTTGGCTTTGAACTCACATTCCTCCTGCCTTAGCCTGTTGCCTGAGATCACTGGAGTGTACCACCATGACCAGTTTAAATACAATTATTTTGGGCCAGGGTGTAGCTCAGCGGCACAGTGCCTGCCTGGCAAGTGTGAGGTTACAAGTTCAACTCTCAGTACCAAAAATAAATAAGTAAACACAATTATTTTTAAGAAGTTGGAAATGAAACACATTTTAAAATTAACAACTATATTAACCATTCAAAATGTTCCGAGAATTTTCAAACTATTACTCAGTAAAATAATGGAACTATTATTAGACCTATATTTTATTTATTATACAAAGTTGATAACAGAATAAAACAGTAAAATAATCAGGTTTTGTGTTTCCTAGACAATTAAGTCATGCGGATATTTATTTGCAAATGCCAGCATATTGTTAGAAACTATAGAGAAATACATCTCTAGGAATTAGCTAGCAAATTTTCAAGGTGCCTCAATGAACATCTTTCTTAAATAGAACAAAATATTCTACTTAAGTAAACAGAATATTCTACTTACATAGTATATTGTATGACTATAAATAAAATATTATTTATCCATATAAAAATAATTTTTCCTATCATTTGTGGGATCATGGGTGGAACATTAGTTAAAAAAGCTAGGCATAGAGAAACATGTCCTTGCTTAAAGGTAGAAGCCAAAAAAGGTTGATTTCATGGAAGTAAAGAGTAAAAAGGTGGTCACTAGAGGCTAGGAGGGCTTGAGAGGCAAACAGACAGAGTCAGTAAAAGGCTGAATAACAAGTGTCAAAATACATGTACATATAAATAATAATTTCTAACGTTCTTCAGCACAACACGAGGGCTATGGTTTATTATATATCATATTCTAGAATATATTTCATAAAAAACTAGGAGAGGAATTCAAAGGTTCTCAACACAAAGAAATAATAAATGTTTAATGCATAAGAAATGCTAATTACTCCAATTGATCATTACACATTGCATATATGTATTGAGGAATTATTGCACTATAGTTCTTAAATATACAGAATAAAATTAAAAAATAAAATTGACCTGTAATCCCAGCACCCAGGAGGCTAAAGCAGGGAGACTGCCATGAGTTCAAGGCCAGCCTAGACTATATAGTGGGATCCTTTCCCTAGCAAACAAACCAAACAAACAGAAAAAATAAAATTAAAAGTAAAATGTGTATATACTTGTATTGGCATACACAAGTGTACACACAAAAATATGTACAATAACAATTAACATTTACTCTGGGATAGGCTTTATTCCAGGTATTTTAATTCTTATTTACTCTAAAACTATCCAAATTTTACACAAGGAAATGAGGCACATAGACATTAAGTAACCCAAGATCACACAGTTAATAAACAGCAGGGCTTGAATTCAAATCAAGACAGTCTACTTCTACAGCCCATATTCTTAAATGCTAAGCCACTATACTAACCCATTGTGCATGTGTACATATGAGGGGTGACTGGAGATAGAATGAAAGAATAGCTGAAGCAGGACAGAGAATGGGAATCAGACAAAAACAAGTTCAGAGGCAGAGCACATGCAAACACACAGAAAGACTGAACCAATGATCCACAGACTGACAGTTCGCAATAGACTGCTTTTATTTTGTAATTTTTACCCTTACCTGGAAAAGCAAAAAAAGATGTAAATTATGTTTGTAGCTAACTCAACGCTTTGCTTCCAGTCTTCTCGCAGGACTCTTGCTAGTGCACCAAGGGCAGTTTCTATAAAAAAGGCAACATAAGAAATGAACATTTGCTTTGCCTCTGATATAAAGGATGACTGGTTTTAAATGTCTACTTATCAATAAATAACAAAGCTAAGATGCAACTAGGACGACAAAGTAGGATGCTTCTTTCCAATACAGAAAGCTTTTTTTAAAACTAAAATACGATTTTTACTTAAAACACATTACACTGTAAACAAATATAATTCAGGTAAAGTAATTACATTTATTATGAGGGACAAAACAAATAATAAAAAGGCCACTTTTCTTGATTTATATTTCTCTTTGGAATTTTACTACTAGAGCACTAATATTTTTCTTTTTTTAACATCTTACTTAATGTATAAAAAATTAAATTAACTCTAGAAAAAATCTTATTTAGAAGACATATCTATTCCACTAAAATAAGCTGACCAAATAAAACTTACACACAAAAATAAATATATTATTTCAGTATCACATATCAACAGACATAAAAAAGATCTTCCAAAAAGTTATATTCCAGGGATGTTAATAAGCTTTACTGTTACGTTTATATACAGAGGAAGCTAAAAAAGAATAAACTGATTAAGTATTATCATATATTAAGTAAATATAAAGAAATAAGATTAATTTTAAATTAGAGTTGTCCCATGGCTTATAAATTCTTAGAAGTAGTGAAATAATATAAATATATGTGTATGTTAAATATAGAAATTGTTTCAAATATCTTTAAATACCCAAGGTCAACTATATTTAATACATTGTATTATTAATATCTATTGTGGTTATAAAATACTCAGTCTAGTTCAGTGTTCTGGCTAGACTACCAAGAGAGAATTAACTATTAGTCATTAATCCACTGAGTGGATTTTTGCAAACCAAAAAATACTCTGCAACAACATTTCACAGCAGTATCCACATTCACAATGGAGAGCCCTGGAATAGTGTATGTTTTGAACAGAATTATTGTGAGGTGAAATAGGTAGGCAGTGTTCATTACAACACATAAAATCTCCATAAAGTCCTATTTAATGAGAATCAAGTTTAACACTAGTAATTCTAGTTTAACACTAGTAATCAAGTAATTCCCAAAAGGTCTTTGACCATTATAATCTAGACAAAATAGTATTTCTTAATACATTATAGAAATACTCTTCTATAATGTCATGAGTATAGGCTTAGGTTTCATGGCCAATTTTACTTCGTTTTCCTTTAGCATGAAACAGAAAAATGTCTCAATAAAAATACAGCTGCAAGACTTACACAAAAATTTATCAATAGCCAAAAGAAAATATAAAGTTTATAAAAAGTTGAAAAGCATCACATATTGGTCTATAGACTGAATGCAATCACAATCAAGTTTCCAAAGTATGCCAAATTTATCTCATACTGATACATAAAACAAATGTGTAAGACCAGCAAAACAAACTTTAAAGGAAAAAAGGATAGACGGGTGCATTTTTAAAAAATATCCTACAAATCTAGTCAAAATACAAAACAAAGCAATTAACATCATTCCACTGGTATGGGAGTCATTGGACCAAAGGAACAGAGAAAGGACACTAAAGAGATCTATGAATCTCTGGCAAAGAGTAAGTTTTCAAGAAGCACCTATTCTATAAAAGAATGATAGACAAAGTATTAAAAAGGAACTTCTAAACATGGGAAAGGAATGAGTATACGCCATTGGTATAAATACTGTTCAACATGGAAAAAAACAGAAATTATAACTGTACTTTCATTTTTAACAAAAATGAATTCTAGGAAGATTAAAGACTATAAAAGTCCACTGCTCTATAAGCAAATAGGAAAACTGGTAAAAAAAAAAAGGTCAAAATAAACTTTTTCAATCCTGTGGGAACTAAATTTCTACAAAGACCTAAAAAGAGTTCAGTGGCTGTACAGACAAAGACCACAGACTTTACAGAATTAACCTATGAAATTCATTAAACAAATACCATCCCAGAGATAGAGGGAGTCTCAGTCTCAGAGTTGCTGCAATACTATTTCAACAATGAGGCATGCGAAGAAACAGAACAGCATGATCCATGTTCAGAAACTGTCCATGAGAAAGCACACTTTCTTAACTGGTGAAAAAAAGATTTTAAGTGACCTGTATCTTAAAAAACTGAAAGAAACCATGTCTAAATAATTAAGGTATGTAAAAGTATGAGAATGATGCTTCACCAAAGAGAAGTAAATTATACAAGAGAATTTCTATACATAGAAATTCTGTAGTTAAAAAAATAGCTATCATAAAAAACTCATTACAAGGTATCAACAGCAGATATAAACTAATATATATATATATATATATATATACACATATAAAGACTATATAGCAATTTAAATCCACATAAATAAATTATAAGGATAAACATAAAAAGGTAATATAATCATATTTCTGATTTCTCCTCTACCTGACTTATAAAAAATACATGTGGTGATAGTTATATACTTGTGTTGATAAGCTTACAGGGTATAAATACAGTAACTTCGTATAATGATAGCAATACAAAACAGTAGTGAGGAAACGATATTTCGGAGTAAATTTTTATATAGTTGAAATAAAGCTGATATTAATGCAAACAGACTGCTTAAAATTGTTAGTTGTAATCCAAGGCAATCACTAAGAAAATACAATAACTTAAGAAAATGTAGTGATAGGGGATTAAACAGTAAACAAGAAAATCAAACAAAAGCAACAAGAGGAATAGATGGACAAAATGTAAAAACTACAGAGAAAGCAAGTATAAAATGCTAGATGTAAATTTTACCTTATAAGTATACCTTAACATTAATGTTAAGTAGGCTAACCATTGCAATGGGTAATACTAGATTAAACAGAAACATGATCCAACCATATGCTACCTACAACAGAAACATTTTATATTCAGAGAAACAGAGTGAAAGTAAAAAGAAAAAAGATATTCCATAAAAAGGCAAGAGAAACAGAAAATAAAAAGGACTAGCATTCAGAACATAAATATCTAAGGTATGAAATATATATGCATATCCATAATAAGTTATAAATCCAAACCTCACCGAGTAATAAAGTTTACAATAATTTTTCTATTTTTAATATTTATAGACATAAATCACCATTCAATAGTAGTTCTTCCAAGTTATCAGGATTTCGAGCAAGCTGTAGAATCAAAGCAGAACCCCGAACCTTGTCAGGAATATCTTCATACAACAATTCAAGGTATTCATCCATGTCATTAATGTTGGCAACTTCATCAATCTAAAACAAAGAAAGAGGGAGGAGTACTTAACATTAACAGTATACATAGTCACTGAATGACATTTTGTGATCAACATACTGTCCTATATGACAATAAACAAATTTCCATAGCAGCCATTTTTGGTACATGGAGGGTTTAGGTTTTTTAGTACTATGACAAATGGAATATATATAAACCTTAAAATGTGTCCATCAACATAGAGTATTTTAAATGTAATACAAAGTAATTTGTATCTACTACAATAGATTAAACAATATTTTAAAACATTGCAATGAGAATATTAAAACATTTGAACCACAAGTAATGATTTTTATCATTATCAATTTAATACTGATTGTTGTAGTCAGGGATTGTACACGAGAACAATCAGGATTAGGACATGGAGTTTATAATATTTTTATAATGGTCACCGGAAGTTAACACAGGAAAACGCAGGAAATCTATCCACAAAACCAAAGACATAGATTATTTACTCAAGAGCCTAAACCCCACAGCAATGTCCCACATGAGTCAAGATAAAAATCCAGAGCTCAGGACAATGCCTCTCACAAGTCCAACTGGAGGTCCAGAGCCCACAAGAAGGATTCCTGCCAGTCTCTTTTACGGATCCATGCCGGGAAGACCCAAGGTTCAGCAGTGGAAGCTAGAAAGTCTATGCCAGCAGGATGAAGGAGCTGTGCTAGTGGGATGAGGGTTCTATGCTGGAGCCGAGAAGTCACACTCACAACAAAGACCAGGGCTATCCTGAAAGGCACCACACCTGTCCTCAGCGACATGGAAGCCCTGAGCTCCTCCAACGACAAGCACAGTCCAGTACATGCCAGGAAGCAGCATGACAGAGTTCATCCTGGAGACCAAACAGCACATGCCTTCCCCTCCAGAGCCAAGAAGCAATGCTCGATATGAGGACCAAAGCTTCTCCAGGAGAACCAACAGCTCAGACAGCAACTCGTATGAGAACCCACAATGCTACAACGCTTAACACCTCAACCCTCAACACCTCCCTTCTTCTCCACCTATTTATCCTGGCAACTTTCCTCAGGTGGAGCATCTTTGCTCAATGCCATGCTGATGTAATCCAGCTGGTGTTAAATTGACCACCAGTTCTTAATCCATAACACTGATTATCTACCTTTTTCAGGTAAATCTAAATTTAATCATTTTTAAATTCCACATCTGACTAACATGATTTTATGCATTATTGATGGCAAAAGGCAATAGCTTTCAATTAGTCATTTATTAGATCAGAATTCATTATATTCTTACCTCTGTTCCTTCGAAAGGTGGTGGATCTTTAGGTTTGTTTGATTTTTCTTTTTTTTCTGTAAAAAATTTTTTAAATGAGAAATAGGATTTCAGAGTTTTGAAGTAATTTTTTAGCATCTGAGTTTAATTCTACTTAAACTAGAGATACTAACATTAGCTGGTTGATAAAATTTATCTTTTCAAATGTATAAAAAAGGATCTACAACACATCCATCTATTCTAGTGACTATCTTGTAGAGGATGAATTAATAAAAGCTTTAACTAATTTCTAAGTTACATTATGCAATGATTTTAACTTCCTCTATCATTAACCGGATTTACCAACAAAAGCAAACTAATTAACTAATTATTTTTTATTTCCCCCCCAATTCACATTTAAAGTGGGAAGAGGTAAGTCATTAAGGCAAAGAAAAACGAATAATTTCATAATCTGAATATGTCAAGTAACACAAGAATTAGAAACGATAGGTGTATTTACAAGCTAACATAATACATAATTAACTGGTTTAGCTCTGACAAAAGATCATAAATTTAAAGACTAATATTTAATATGTATACTAATTTAATCCTCAGTTCCTAAGAAAGAGGTATCTAAAGAGGTGGAACACAACTTTGAGCCATTTTTTGAGTTAAAAATGTAATTTCACTTCCTAAAATCATTCCTAAAATTCAACCTATCAAAGATGCTCTACTAGCCGTGCTTGGTGGCATACATCTAAATCCCAGCTACGCAGGAGAAGGAGGCAAAAGGGTCACAATTTCGAGCCCAATTTAGGCTATTTAGTGATATTCTATTTCAAAATAAAATAAAATGAATGGAGGGGGTGAGGGCTTGCTCAGCATGTGCAAGGTCCTGAGTTCCATGCCTAGCATTGCAAATAAGTAAATAGATAAATACTTTTGTAATATGGCTCAAAAAACTAAGGAATGCCTGTCCTTTTTTATTTTCTTTTTTTTTGGGGGGTGGCAGTGCTGGGGATTAAACCCAGGGCTTTGTGCATGTAAGGGAAGAACTCTACCACTGAGCCACATCACACCCCCAGCCCTACAATCCTTGTACCTTAAGTCAAAACTTGATTCTATAATTACCAAGAACATACAACAGAACTGCCCCTTACTATTTTCAGAGGATAGTAGCTAATCCAGATGAGGGCATATAATCTCAACAGATAAATTTTGTTTCAATCAGACAATTTATTATGATAGTGGTTGTAATTAGCAAAGGAAAAAATCATTTAAAGAAATGAATCACAAAATCCAGTATTATTTTGTTTCAATCACTTTTAGAACAAAGTTTCTGCCTGTGAAGTACAAATACCATGTAGAAAAACATTTTCATATTTGTTTAGTTCGTAGGAATGAGAAATACTGATTTGTCATGAAAACTCATTGACAGGGGTTTCTTTGGTTTAAAGATATTGACTGCAACTGCCTTCAGAATTATTAATTTGGCACCATGTTTTTTCATTACATAAAAATATCTTTTATAAATAGTTATTGTCTTAGCTCTGATATCTAGTTATTTTACAAAGAAACTGAGGATAGCTGAGTGGTAATAATATAGATTAAGAAACTGAATAATATTTTCCTAAGAAAGACTTGCAAAAATTGTATTTTTAGGGTAATGTAATGTAGACAGATACAGATCTGAACACATATACACAAACAGACACACTTAAAAAGTTCACTCAAATGATAAACTAAGTATCAACAAGAAATTCAGAAAATGTAAGTCTAGTAAGAGGCAGAGAAAGTGGATCTTCTCTAAATTTTCTCTTATTCTACAATCAATATGAAAGAGTCCTTTCTTATTGCTTATTTTATACACACAGACACACACACAGTGAAACAATTAAGATTATTTTACATAGAAGCATCAAAGCTAGTAGTTAGGAAGCTAGCATGTTCTTTCTTTCATTTGCTTACTTGCCCTTAACATTGGTAAATTAAAAAAAACTCTCAATATTCAAATATCTTAACTACAGTCTAATAATTTAGGACTTGCATTTTTAAAAAACCAGTTCTACGTACCTTTTCCCGACAATGAATCCCGACGATTCTGCAGGTAGTACAACAGCTGTTCTACTTCATTTAGTTTTGAGGGGTGAATAAGTTTACACTCTTCAACCACCTTCCGTGCTAGGGAAGTTATATCTGTGTTGGCATTGAGACCCTTTAGACGAATACTGCAACATAACCAATATCCAACTCAGATATTATGAAAGTACATGATAAATTCAATACTACTATTTTAAAATACATGTTATTTATAGGTTATATAGTCCACATGCTCTTGACCACAGAATCTTAGCAAAATAAGTGTTATTTATAATCAGGCTTAGAAAAATAAATGGCAATACTTTTCATACAGTTGATTACAAAAGCCAACATAGAACGTTTTCTGAATCTCTAGGCAAGTCAGCATATTCAGAAATCTTATTTTAAAGACATATATTTATACAAAATATATAGGACCTTTAGTCCTTATTGCATTTGAGGATCCATTCTAACACAAATGAATAAGTATCTTCACGTTACGTTTTCTCCAGTTGGGAATAAGAGAAGATACTGTTACTTTCAGACTTAGTGGCTATGATGGCAGTCACATTAGGTAGAAGGGAAAAAACCAATATGCATTGCAAGATCTTTAAGAGGAATTTCGTGGAAAAATTATTTTAATATTTAGATTATTCCTCTCTCTTTATTCTCCCTCACCCTCCCTTTTAAACTAGAAAATTCATTGGGACTCAACAAGAAAAGAAAGCTCAGAGTCTTTTTTTTTTTTTTGTGGTATCAGAGATCAAACTCATGACCTTGTGCTTGCCAGGTAGGCGCTTATGCCGCTGAGCTAAATCCCTGGCCCATGAAGGTTCAGAGTCTTAAGACAATTAACTGCTTATTTACATGGTCTCATAATTTAAGGGAAAATTCCAAAGACAAAATTTGGTACTGAATAAAGTCAAAGTAGTGACAAAAGATTGTCAAGCATATGTTCCATCTAAGACTTACACTCAAAAGAGAGAATCAAGCAAGTATCCACTGTGTGGAATTACTTCTTGGTGAAGATGGCTAGCTTTGCCAGCAGAGGAGACCACCTATATTGGAGGAAGTATTGGTGCAGACTTGAGAGAACTGCTTTAAACTTAGCATCTGTGAGACCATTACTAGACGCAGATGATCTCTTCTAAACCAGCCTAGTAGAGTAACACATACATTACCTTCAGCTCTTAGTCGACTCTGTCTCGCTATCCAGGAATTCTGTGAGCCACTCAGTAGTTTTTTATTGGTTTTTTTTTTTTTTAATCTTTTTCATTTTTATCGGTAGCAGGGATCGAACTCATGACTGCCTGCTTGCAAGGCAGGCGCTTATGCCACTGAGCTAAATCCCCAGCCCCCACTCAGTAGTTTTTAATACATCCTTTTTATGTTAAAATTTGCTAGAGCGGTATCTATTGTTTGGAACAACAGTAGCAGCAACAGCAGAGCACCCTAATATTCTGTCCTTTATCCTTTTCTCCTTAATCTATTTGAGTTACTTTTGTTCTGCCTTTTAAAGACTTTTACCAATTAGTTTTTCAATAGCTTTTGCTGTACATAAGAAGGTACAAACAGAGTCCATTTAGAGAAAACCTCAAAAACCACATTTATACAGCTTGTCCAGACTGCTCTGTTTCACATCACAATATGCATTTAGATTCCTCCATGTCTCTTGTTTATTTATTTATTGTCCTTTGAGACAAGGGTTTCACTATGCATTTCAGGCTGCCCTTGAACTCACTTTCTAGTTCAGGCTGACTTGGAACTCACAGTAATCCTCCTTAGCTTCCTGAGTGCTGGGATTATAGGTGTGTTACCATGCCTGGCCTCTTCTATGTCTTTCTTATAGTTTGATAGTTCACTTATTTTTATTGCTGAATAATACTTGATTGTATGGATGTACCACAGTTTGTCTATCAGTTCAAAATTAAAGGGTATCTTGGTTGCTTTCAATTGTTACTAATTTTGAATAATGCCAAAGTGATTAATGTACAGTTCTTTAATGGAATTCAGTTCTCAACATATTTGAGTAAATATCTAGGAGTGTAACTGTATTGTTGGGCTATGTTTAGTTTTGTAAGAAACTGCCCAGTTTTCTTCCCAAATGTATGCTATTTTAAATTCTCACCAACTATAAGAGTTCTTGTTCCTTCACATTCATGCCAATGTCTGTTACTGTTAGTGTTTTAGATGTTAGCTATTCAAATAGGGGTTGTGGTTTAATACAAACAGTCTTTGAAATCTGTTTCAGATCTGTTTTCTACAAACACATATGTTAGCATTCTGATGTGTTCTCTTTCTATCCAAAGTAATAGACAGGTTTTCTGCTTTTAGTGTAGTTTTTCTTTGAAATATTTCATTTAATAAAAGGACAGAGAAATAGGGCAAAAATCTTTTAAGAAAATGTCAGTTATACATTTACTTTCCATATAATAAATACATTGATTCATTGATTCACTAAGAACACTGGAAACTCACAAAGTAAAGCCTGTATTATTTTTGGACCACGACCATCAGTTTCTCATAGAGAAACCTTCAGGAAACTGACTTGAGGATGTGCTTGCACATTCCTTTGATTAACACTAGAGAATGAATGAAAAGTCTTCCGGGTCTGGGTCATATCATTGACCTCTCAGACTTAACAGCAGTCTCACTTCACACCTGTCTGAATCTACATGAGATTCTCCTCATTCTCACCAGTGACAAAACCTCTGAGTCAAAACCACAGTTTTCTTTTGATACCACAATATGACTCCTTTTCAAGTCTTGCACAGCCAACCCTGAGTAACACAAGGTTGAGTTACTAGGGTTTTTAACTTTTCTGAAATTTAAACGTATTTACTGCAGCCACAGTTAGTAGTAACTCTTGCCATGTGACTCTCTATTGAATGTAACTCTATGTAGAAAGCAGGCATATTCAAAAGTAGTAATTCTTCACTAAATGCCAGTTGAACAAAGCCAGTGACTATATCCTTAAATAGTAAAATGTATTTCTCCTGAAGTATGGATATACAAAATTCTAAAAGCAAAGAATCCAGTATGCTAGCTTTTCTTTCGAAGTTAATTATGAGATCTCAAGAGATTTTCATGTGTTCTTAAAATGTATAAAACTTAGGAGGCAAGCAATGGTAAAACAAATGGAGAGTATGACAGAATAAAAAGGTATGCACTACAATTTATAGCGTGTGTGTATGCATGTTATGTCTCCTCAATCCACTGTAAAATCTACAGGACTCATTTATCTTTAAGGAATGGATATATATTAGGCTTATTCTAACCCAAACAAGAGAATCAATTAATAGCTCTTACTAAGATACTTGAGGCTTCTCAATTCTAGAACTACTGAAATTGGGGCTTAGCAATTTTGTGTTGTAGGTGGCTATCTTGTGTACTATAACACAATTAGCAGTACTTGGCCTCTACCCTACTAAAAGCCAATTGTATTGCTTCTTATTAAGAAAAGTAAAACTATCTCCAGGCATTGCCAAATGTCCCCTGTGTGGGGAAAAATCACTCTTACTTCAGAATCACTATATACTTAAAGTGCTTTTTAGTACGCTAAACATTATCATATACCATCAGTATATTAATTCCAGAAAAAATAGAAATAGAAATTCTAATTTAGTTAACTAGTCAACATGTTTTGTATAGAACAAAGAGGATTGAGGGAGAACACATGGGAAGTCTCAAAACTCTTCTACTTCCACAGGACAGTGGAAGAAAGGAAAGTCACTATTACAACTTAAAGTTCATAAAAAGGCCAGTGCCCAAGGTATCCTGGCAAATGCAGGAAGGGAAGTATGCAAGATAAAGGAAGAGCTAAGACCAATATCTTGAGTCAGAAAAATCTTATTGCTGACATAATTAACACTGTATTTTCAACGAATGAATTCAAGTGGGCTCCACTTGGGAATTTCTGAAAGTAGCACTAGTTTCTGCAATTCCAGAGAATAAAGAACAACATGGGATTACCTAAGATCTCAATTTCTGAAACTAAAAAGCCCCATATAATCATCTTTTTATAATTTATCTCACAAGTTAGTAATTGCAAAAACCTTATTTTCTCTGGAATAAATACTGCTTAGTTATAGTTTAATATAATCTCTCACTTAGGTGGATTATGCTATGAAGAATACTGTAATAATACCCATAAAGATCAAAATAATAACAGATTGGCATAAAGTATGTTAAAATTCACTACTTTCAAAATGTACACAAATGAAAAACTTACATTTTTTGGCATTCCTTTCGTTCTCCCAACATAGGATCACCCATTTCTCCAAGAATGGTAGCTTCTACTTCATACTGAACAATAAGTGCTTTTTCTGATGGATGTACATCAATGTTACCTCCTTTAACTTTCCTATAATATAAAATAAAGAGAGAGATAACTGTATTAGAAATTTATAAAATGTCCATTGGTTCTAGTTTCTAGTTCTAAAACATGTGGGCTGGATTACACCTTTGAATCAGATTTATTCTGGATGTGAACAAGAAATAAAAATCTTCTAAATCTCTTTGCTAGCTATATAATTCATGGTCCTGCAGAAAGTACCTTCATAAATAGCATTATCTTGGAAAGAACAGCTTTACCCAAAGAATCATTCATTAAAACAAATGAGTAGCATTCCTGGAGGCAAGTATTACTCTGATATCAAAAACAGAGAAAGGCCCCCAACCAAAAAGGAGAACTAATGCGTCAGTCTCACTAGTGAATATCAATGCAAAAATTCTCAATAAAATACTGGCAAAGAGAATGCAGCAAATCATCGAGAAGATTATACATCATGACCAAGTAGGATTTAACCTAAGAATGAAGGGTAGCTTAACATATGCAAACTAATGGAATACACCACATCAACAGAGCCGAAGACAAAAATCACATGATCATCTCAATAGATGCAGAAAAAGCTTTTGATAAAGTCCACCACTCTGTCATGATAAAAACTCTACAGAAACTCAAAACAGATAGTATCTAGCTCAATCTGATAAAAGCCATCTATGACAAACCAACAGCCAGCATTATACTAAATGGACAAAAACTGAAAGTTTTCAGGATGTTCATTATGACCACTCGTATTCAATATAGTTCTGGAAACATTAGCCAGAACAGTCAGACAAGAGAAAAATAAAAGGAATAAGGATAGGAAAGGAAGAAGTTAAATTATTATTATTTGCAGATGACATGATACTCTACATAGAAGACTCTCAAAAATCCATCAAAAGACTACTAGAGCTAATAAACAAATACAGCAATGTAGTTGGATACAAAGTCGACACTCAAAAATCAATAGCATTCCTGTATACAAACAACAAACTCATTGAGACAGAAATTATGGAAATAACACCTTTCACAATAGCATCCAAAAAGTGAAATATTTAAGAATCAATCTAATAAACGATGTAAAAGACCTACACACTGAAAACTATAGTACTTTAAAAAAGGCTTGAAGAGGATGTCAGAAAATGGAAAGATATCCTTTGCTCTTGGTGAGGAAGAGTCAACATTGTGAAAAAGGCGGAAACTGTTATACAGATTTAATGCAATCTCGATCAAAATACCATTAAAAAACCTTACAGATCTAGAGAAAACGTTCCTAAAATTTATTTGGAAACAGAAGAAACGTAGAATAGCAAAAACAGTTCTGGGCAACAAAAGCAAGGTAGGAGGCATCGCAATTTCTGACTTGAAATTATACTACAAAGCTACAATGATAAAATCGGTGTGGCATTGGTAAAGAAAAAGACCTGAGGATCAATGGAACAGGTTAGAAGATACAAACACAACTGCAAAGACACATAGTTACCTTATCATTGACAAAGAAGCTAAACATGTTCACTGGAAGCAAGATAGCCTCTTTAATAAATGGTGTTGGAAAAATTGGCTTCTCACATGCCAAAGACTGAAACTAGACCCATGTCTATTACCATGTACTAAATTAAAGTCAAAATGGATCAAAGATCTAAATATTAAGGCAGAAACACTAAATCTAGTGGAAGATAAGGTAAGTAGAAGTCTTCAAGACATAGGGGTAGGCAAAGTGTTCATGAACAAAATGCAAACTGCATGGGAAGTACTTCAAAGAATCAACAACTGGGATTTCACCTTATTAAAGTTTTTTGCACTTCAAAAGACATCACCCACAGAGTCCAACAAAACTCCATAGAATAGGAAAGAATTTTAGTCAGCTGTTTATTGCTCAGACAAAAGGACTTATATCAAACATCAGGCCCCTCATTCAAAGAACCAATCCAAAATGGGCATGTGAGATGAACATGCACTTCTCAGATGAATAAATACACATGGCAAATAAATACATGAAGAAATGTTCACTATCACTAGTCATTTAAGATGCAAATTAAAACAACATTGAGATTCTCAGTCCAAAAAGAATGGCTACCATCAAGAAATCAATTGATAACAAATGTGGGTGGGGCAGGGGAGAAAAGGAACACTTCTCCACTGTTGGGAGCATAGATTGGTGTGGCCACTTTGGAAAACAGTGTGGAGATTCCTTTAAAACTAGGATTGGAAGTCCCATTCAATCTAGCTATTCCCTCTGGATGTTTACAGAAACATTGAAAATGTCATGTCACAGTGATATAGGTACACTTATGTTTATAGTAGCACAATTTGTAATAGCTAAAACTTGGAAACAACCCAAATGCCTATTAACTACAGAACGGATATAAAAGATGTGGGTGTGTGCCTGGAGGACTGTGGATACGTCAGCAAGCAGGCGATCATCACCAGTTCCAGAGGCCCGGCGGCCTGCGGTAAGTGCTCAGTGCACTCTGCCCCTAGCCCAGACTGTTCGGGACCCTCCAGGCTTCCCACTGCAGTGAAGTGGATAAGGGGGTTTGAGGCATCTACATCCGCCTCCCCATTCCGGCTGCGCTTGGAGAACTGTGGAGTTTCCAGCAAGCAGGTGGGTGCACATTATCCCCGGAGTCCAGCCTATTAGGGACTCCTGCACCATCTGGGTGCAGAGGAAGGGTGGGGAGGATCTGGGGCGCCTGCATCCGCCTCCCCGTGTGTCTGGAGGACTGTGGATATCTCAGCAAGCAGGCGATCATCACCAGCTCAAGAGGCCCCGTGGCCTGCGTAAGTGCTCAGTGCATTCTGCCCCAAGCCCAGACTGTTCCGGACCCTCCAGGCTTCTGGGTGCAGTGAAGTGCGTAAGTGGGTTTGAGGGATCTATATCCGCCTCTCCATTCTGGCTGCGCTTGGAGAACTGTGGAGCTTCCAGCAAGCAGGTGGGTGCACAGTGTCCCTGGAGCCCAGCTTATCTGGAACTACGGAGTTCTAAACAGGCAGAAGAGGGCCATTGGTTCTAGAGGCCCAGTGGCTTGGGGGAGCAGAGTGCCAGAGTCCCAGGAGCTGTGAACATAGAAGTGGATTTCCAACAGACCTTGAGGAAGCTTTCAAATAACACCTGAAACACAGAAATATAGGAAAATGACAAAACGAAATACCAAATTACAACCTCAAACCTCCAGCCCAGCTCAAGAAACCCTAGGAGCAATGTATATAGAAGAAATATATGCCATTCACCTCAACTATCAGACATAATAGCTACGGAAATTAACAAGCAAAACCAGGAAGCTTTAAAGGAATTCAAACTCGAAATAATCTCCCAGGTAAAAGAAAAAATGATAAAAGAAATGAAAGAGATTCTGAATATATCTAAAGAAAACACAGTTAAAAAATTGGAGGAACCAAACAAAAAGATAGGATCACTAGATGAGCAATATAAGAAACAAACAGAATACATAATGCAGATGCACAGAGATATACAGAAATAAAAAACTCCACTGAAAGTTGTAAAAACCGCCTCAATGAAAGTGAAGATAGAATTTCAGACCTTGAAGACAGGATTCCAGCTAGTGAACAGGAAAGACAAGATCTTTTAAAAATAACAAGGAACCAGGAAATAACAATTCAACACCTGCAAGATGATGCCAAGAAAAATAACATAAGATTGATAGGGATTAATGAAAAAGAAGGGGACAACATAAAGGATGTCAAGAGGATATTTAGAGAAGTAATAGCTGAAAATTCCCCAGACATGAGATCAGAAACGGACATCAGGTTCAGTGAAGCATATAGAACTCCAAATAGTCATAACCAAAATAAAACTACACCCAGACATATAATAATCACCATCCCAGAAATCCAACATAAGAATAGATTATTAAAAGCTGTCAGAGAGAAAAGACGGATCACTTATAAAGGAAAACCTATCAGAATCACAGCAGACTTCTCAGCACAAACAATAAAGTCAAGAAGAGCATGGAGTGAAGTATTCCAGATCCTAAAGCAAAATGATTTCCAACCTAGACTGATGTACCTGGAAAAACTATCATTCAAAGTTAATGGTAAAATACAATACTTCCATGACAAACAACAGCTGAAGAACTTCATGAACACCAAGCTAAACCTGCAAAAAAATATTGAAAGACAGTTTAGATACACAAAAGAAAAAACCACTAAGCAAAGCAGATAATTAAACAGAACAGGAAGATAAAGAGGCAACAGCAGAGAGATAACATGTCAACAATAAACCAGCATTTAACAGTTATAACCATTAATGTAAATGGTCTCAATGCACCAACCAAAAGAAACAGACTAGCAGAATGGATCAAGAAACAAAATCCAACCATATGCTGTTTACAGGAAACCCATCTAACCCAGGATACTCACAGACTGAAAGTCAAAGGATGGAAAACAATACTTCATGCAGCGGGAATCCAAAAAAAAAGCAGGAGTAGCCATTCTGTTTGCAGACAATGTGAACTTTAAACCAACAATGACTATAAAGGACAAAGAAGGTCACTACATACTCGTTAGGGGAAAACTCCAAGAGGAAGAGATAACTATCTTAAATATATACGCACCAAACTCCAGAGCACCTAGTTATATAAAACAACTATTAACAGAAATGAAAACTCAAATTATCAGTAACACAATTGTAACAGGAGACCTTAATACGCCATTGACACCAAGGGACAGATCAACCAGACAGAAAATGAGCAAAGAAATAACAGAATTGAATCACACCTGCGAACAAATGGATTTGATAGACATATACTGAATGTTCCACCCAACAACATCAGAATACATATTCTTCTCAGCAATACATGGATCATTCTCTAAAACAGACCATATATTAGCTCACAGAACATATTTAAACAAATGCAAAAGAGTTGAAATCATCCCTTGCATGTTATCGGACCATAACGCGCTGAAATTAGAAATTAATGATAAAACATACTGCAAAAATCCCGCAAACACATGGAAACTGAATAACACACTCTTGAGTAATCACTGGGTCACAGAAGAAATTAAAGAAGAAATTAAAC